GGCAGAGGGGGTGTGGGGCGGGGGGCCCAGCCCCGGCCCTGGGAGGGGGCTGGAGGCAGGAGGAGACCGGGGCCACGGGTCTCCCGCTGTGGGAACCCCCTGTCCGGGCCGCTGGCGTCCGGCAGGTCCCCACGCAGGCTCCACGCGTGGTTTTGGGGTGATGCCACTCGCCTGGGCCGCTGCTGTCCAGGAGCGAGGAGCCGGGAGGTGTCGGGCAGGGTGGGAGCAGCTGCGCGTCCCCCCGATGCGCTGCGGTGTTGGTGGCACAGGGGTTCATGTCCCTGAGGTGGTGTGAGGGGAAACGTGGGGGTAAACCCCATGGTGAGAGGGCGTGGAGCCAAGTGGAGTCCAGGGGAGATGGGCTGTGCGGGTGCGATGCTGACGGAGACTGTGCCTGCCGTTGCTGACCCAGATCTACGCGGACCCTGCCAAAAGGCTGGAGCTGTATTTCCGCCCCAAGGACCCTTACTGCCATCCCGTATGTGCCAATCGCTTCCCCACCTCCACCATGCTGCTCAAGGTGAAGAGAAGGACCAAGAAGAAGAAGCAGTTGGACACCGAAGAACAAATCCAGCCAGAAGTCCAGTTTGAAATGGAAATTCTTGGCACTGTCACCACTGTTTACAAATTTCAAGGTAATAATACTTGGATTTGTGTCCACATGGCTTAAGGACGAGTATGTCTGATGGGAGAGGGAAGTGTTTTCCTCTAAGAATTTAGGACTGGAAGGACAATCAAGTCTGTTGTTACAGCCTCCTTGCTATATACACCTTTGCATAAACTTATCAGACTCCTGCTCCTGAAAGTTGAGTGTTGTGAGAAATCTTGTGATATACACAGTGAACTTCACGATGTTTTACCTTTTGTTTCTCACAGGAATGTCTGATTTCCAGTACCTGGCGATGCACTCCGGTCCTGATGGCAAACAAACCTCTATGTATGACAAAGTGCTAATGCTCAAACCAGAGAAGGAAGAATTTTTCAATAGAGAATTACCTCTCTACATCCCGCCACCAATTTTCTCACGTCTGGACACTCCCGTTGACTATTTTTATCGGCCAGATATACAACACCGGTTAGTGCCTTTTCTTGTAATGTAGTAAATAGCTCTGTTGGTTCTTAAATGGACAGGTAGTGAAACATTTTGCTGGTTTGATATATACTTCTAACAGACAAGTCCTCAAGTTAAGATTTCCTTTTCCATCACTTGAAGATGCCTCCAATCCATTGTGATTTCAGTGTTGTTATAGGATCTGTGCTCTTGAAGCATCAGAGCAGCACTAAATACATCGTACGTGTATTCCACCTGTTTAAACTGCTGCCCTGTTCTGTTTAATCCCTCTTGATTTGGCACAACAGAGGCAGGCATGCTTGAGAAACTGCCTGGCAGCAGACACCTCAGCAAAAGTCCACTGGAGGACTTGCCGAGTGAGGGGAGCTGGTGAAGACGACTGCCTCCCCCAGCACGCTCCGCACAGCGTGGGATGCAGTGAGCCGGGCTGGCTGCCTGCTTCCCGGGGGCTGGAGCCGAGGGGGGAGCGTGCAGGGGTCGATGGCCTATGTTCCTGTGGGTCCTTCATCGGCACGTTAAAAAAAAAAAAAAAGAAAAGACTTCAACTGCATTTCCATCTTGCCTTGTCCCTGCACCCTACTGAGCTGCAGTAACTACAGCAGAGCAAGCGCAGAGGGTGAAGCCTTTTGTGCTGCAAACACATTGCATACAAGTCAGTAGCCACCTGCCTGAAGGTTTTCTCTCAGATAGTACAGGGGACCTCTGTCATTGTGCAACTGGCTGTAGCTTTGCAGGGTTTGTTTTTAAATTCACGTTTTCTTTCCTCAGTGGTGTCCCAAGAGTCTCGTATGGTACCAGTGTGTGATTCCAAAATCCATAGGGAGGAGGGGCCGAAGGTAAACCAGCACATTGCTCACATGGCTGAGTCCCTTCTCTTCTGAAATCTGGAGCGCAAACTTCCATTTTCACGTGGTCCCGTGAAGGCCCCGAGTCCGTGTGTGCCACAGGCAGAAAGCAAACCCGGTCCTTTCCGCCTTTCTTAGGGAGGGATACAACAATCCCCAGGTGTCTGGTGAGAACCTGATTGGCCTCAGCAGGGCCCGTCGCCCGCACAACGCTATCTTTGTGAACTTTGATGATGAAGAAATCCCAGCTAAACCCCTGGATGCTGCCGTACAGACCTGGAAGAAAGTGTGCACCAATCCTGTGGATAAAAAGGTGGAGGAAGAGCTGAGAAAGGTACGTGCCATATTCCTGACTTGAGCACTGTACTGCAGCATGCTGTGCAGGAAAAACCTGCATGCATCCGTTTTCTCTGACTTCCCCAAAAAGTCTTGGTGATTGTAACTGACTGATACAGCAAGTATCAGTAGATGCTGCTGACACTGCTGCCTTCAGTTCAATTATGCCAGTCCAGATTTGAATCTGGCTTTGCAGCCAACTCACGTTAAGTTCCTTTTTGCGCCACTAGTTCTTGCATTACCATTCTGATAGCTCATACTAAGGGCCAAAGGCCCCGATACAGAAAAAAGTCCACTTGGAAAGCTGAACTGCCTTTAGTAACCCACTTCCCACTGTTTCCATGCTTGTTTCTGTATTATTTTAGCTCTTTGAAGTCCGTCCTGTCTGGTCTCGGAATGCAGTAAAAGCCAATATCAGTGTCCACCCGGACAAGCTGAAACTTCTGTTGCCATACTTGGCCTATTACATGGTAAGGCTGCACATCTGCTAGGAGGCAGAGCGAGGGGGCATCAGCTGGGCGTTCCTGGTTCTTTACAGTTACTGAGGTCCCACCACTGAGTACCTGAGCTTAACGTTATGTAAAGAGAAAAAGGGAAGGAAAGCTTTGTTTTTGAACAGAAGTTAAAACCATGGAGGATTCAGTAACTGCTCACTCCATTGGTTCTAATCAGCTTTGCAGTTCAGTCAGACACTCAAATTGACTGTCCATCTGGCAACGACAGCAGAATTTTTCCAAACAAATATTTTGTGGTGACCTTGCAGGTTGGTTTGTAAAAGCACACAAACATTTGGGCTCTGATGCATCGATTGCCCAAGTTTCAGTGTATAAATACTAGTGTGGCAAGTGAGGAAGAAGCTGGTAAAAGAAATATTTTTGGGGCAACAAGAGTAAATATGAGAATTTTCTAAGAAACTCTGCAACACTGTACTGTTTTTTTTGTAACCATCTTCCCCCATGTGTGTTTATGCAGTTAACAGGTCCTTGGAGAAGCTTATGGGTTAGGTTTGGGTATGACCCCAGAAAACACCCTGAAGCAAAGATTTATCAAGTACTGGACTTCCGAATTCGCTGTGGAATGAAATATGGTAAAAGGGCCCAAACCACAGAGACGCTCTCTCTGCTTTCTGGTTAATCCTGGTAGTACTTTTCTTTTTACTTGTTTTTCAAACTCTTTTGCCATATTTCTGCTCTGATGAAGATGACACCTTTTGAGGTCATTGCTTACAGTAGTTCCTCTATAAACTCCTTTAATACTTTATTTCATAGCATGCACTATGTCCTTCCTCATTTGGCACATTCCAAACCCAGTGGACAGCTGGCTGACTTTCCTCCTCCATGTGTTCAAAGCCCAAGTGGATGTAGCAGACCGTCTTCCCTCTCGCTCAGGGGAGGCACTGAGCAGTAGATTCTGTTCCTTACGTAGTAGCTTTTCCTCAAGGACCTCAACGTCTTGTGCAGGATGCTAGGCCTCAGACCCTGGGACATAGGGTTCCCGTGCTCTGATTTTGCAGAGGGCAAGTTGAGCGAAAGGACTTTCTGAGGTCATCTAAGTCATTACCATCACATCGCACCTCCCTCCTTGCAGGTTAAAGGGTTTTGTTGATCTGATAGCTCCTCGCCCCACCTTGCTAAAGTCACCATACCCAAGGATCAGCCAGACTTCACACACCAGTCCAGCACCTCTGTTTCTGAGCTAGGGATATTCTGCAGGGTGCTTGCCCTCAGTTCATTTTTGGTTTTCTTTTTTCACCTCTAGGTTACGCCCCTAATGATATGCCCGTGAAAGCAAAACGCAGCACATATAACTACAGTCTGCCCATCACTGTCAAGAAGCCAGGTATGCTGTGCCAGCAGAAGGGCTGCCTGGCTCTTCGGTTTCTTTGTTTACCCCATCCTA